GTGGGCTGATGTAATGATAGGCTTTGGGATGGCCCCTGTTGCAAGGCCATTTATTCTTGCTTTGCTTGAGCTCTTACATTAATTTAGAGAGCCTTTGTGGTAATGCCCCTCACTGCTTCTCTCCCTATCTATGGATTATTCTGTGTCCTTGCTGTAGTCTAAAGGAAAGCAGCAGCCTTCTCTGTTCAGAGTACATAGTATATTACACTTTTTATGTCTCCCCTAAGACCAGAATCCCATTCCTAGTGAACCAAATACTTTCATGCCCATAAGTAGTACACTATTTTCATGAGGAGAACATTACTTTGGAAACATTCAACAGGTGTTAATGAGACCACTTAGAGTAAGACACTAGTCAGAGTGCCTATGGGCATGTCCAGAGAAGCGCGGCTGTGCAGTATGTGGCGCTGCAAACATGTTTGCAGTGACACATACCACACAGTCTGGTGTTCTCCGCACTGCAAGGACGCACTGCCCAAGCATGCGCTGGGCCGGTTTTTCCCACAGGTTTTTTTTACCCCTGGATTTTCAGGGGTCAAAAAAGTGGGGAAAAAACCAACAGTGGTGCAATGCATGCTCAGCCAGCGTGTGCTGCTGAAAAGCAGAGCCGGGCTACCCAGAGCCATGTGGCAACTGCCAGCCAGGCTCCCCATGGCAGAATCGCCATGGATGTAGCTCTGGGAGGCGCCCAAGATCCCAGGTAAGGCTGCTGGGGCCAGCTCAGTACTGGCCCCAGCCTCCCCTATTCCACCTGGGGCAACTTGCCACATGATATAGCATACATGTCATGGGTGTTCCCCAGGGACAAGTAGCAGTGGTGCAAGGTGCACCTTGTGCTGCCACTACTTGTCCCTGGGGAACCAAATGTCCATGCATGTCTGGACATGCCCTATATGGCCAAATTAGGCACTAGAATGTAGCTTCCTTGGATTCATGTGAATTTCAAATTATGTAAGAAAGTCATTCTTGTTTCTAACTTATAATGGAATAGAGAAACAATCAATTCATTATGAATGTTGAGCCTTTGTTAAAGTACTCTGGAAGCCAGTGTTTGAAACTTACACAGGAAAAAGTTACCAGTAGCTTTGAGTATTTGTGAGCAACTTGGTGGATACATACAGTCCCGAAGCCTGTATTGGGTAGATTTTGCAGCTCACTGTGGTTTCTGTATTGTTGCTGCTGCCTACTACTGGAATCCATGTTGGGTATCTCTGAGTTGCTGTAACTTCAATTTCTATTCCTTTGAAGACTTCAAAGTTATTAGCTCACAAAGCTATTATTTCCTTTTTCTGTTATCAGATACATTGATAGGATAACTTAAGAGGCTTGTCTTAAGCTTTGCATTGTTTTGTTGCGAATTGGTGTCACCATTAGATGATCAAGGTATAAAAAGTGCACTTAGTATGACAGGCTGTGGCAGACACACACTTGCAGTGCCACCGCTGGTATGCTCTGCCCACCTTGGCGCCACCCCAAGGCCTACTCACTTGCCATGACTTGATGTTATCTGAGATTAGTTGGAGGTGCTGCTTAGTGCTTCCCTCTGGCCCCAGGCAGCTCAGCTGATAGGTCTTCTGTGAGGCTCCACCACCCTTACACTTTACCCCTTTCCACTCAGGTGGTCCACTCTGGTCTTGGTGATCTCTGTGATGGGCTGCTGGCACCACCCATTCTCTTGGCACGCCTACCTGCACGGTCCTCCGTGGGAGAGTGGTGAGGCCTTCTTGGCCAATGACTGCACAACTTAGCATTAATGAACCTGAACATGTGCACATGGTGTGGGCAAGCAGGGCATCCCAACACTTTACTTCAGTGTTCTGCGCTTGGTGAGGCAGGCTTCACCTGGTCCCCGCCAGCTTCACCTTTGTGGGTGTTCCCTAGGCAAGCTGGAGTTGTAGGCCTAATGGCACCCAGCCATGTACCCCAGTACTTTAGGCAACATCCCCTCATGCTCCCTAGGGTCCTCCATGGCCACTGCTGGTTTACCATTGGGTTTTGGGTCTGTACCCACTCAAACGCAGTGACAGTGGCCACAGGGGTGCCAGGTGGGTTTTCTTCCCTGTTGGGCTCTATTCGTTCCTCTTGGGCTGGCCTCCTCCCATCCCAGCTGCCCTTGCGGTACCTTTCAGTGTTGTGGTGTGTGAGCGGGGGCTTAGTCAGGGCTGCACTGCTGGGTTTACCCATCCAGGCTTCCGTGCCAATACCTGCTCTTTCTCCTACTGGTGTTTGGTTGTCCATGGCATCTCCTCTTCTGGTGGGGCCTCCTGCCCCTTGAAAGATTCCCTGTTGTGGTGCCACAGGTAAGTGTGTGGCCTGTTTCCACGAGAGGGTTCTGGTAGCAACTGGGGCTCCTGCAGCCTGGCCTGGTAACCTGCCCCCGTGGGGGTGTGCTAGCCCTGCTCCAGCTGCAGGGAGTTTCAGGTTGCACTTGTGGTATGCCCTCTTTCTCCCTCCCCCATGCTGCTGGTGTGGAGTTCCAGGACCGGACAACTCCACAGGCCCTCTTTCGGTCACGTGGTGTTGGCCAATTCCCCAGCAGACTGGCTACCTGGACGCTGGCGCTGTAGTGAGTGTGCCATGGGCCTGTCACACAGGGCCATAGCAGAGAAGCTTAATTAATTCTTTGCATTGGTTTTTACTGCAGAAGATATTGGGAGAATTTCCACTTCAAATCAATCCTTCCTAGTAGATCTGTTTGAAGATCTGAATCACATTGAAGTGATAATAAGATGTTTTAGAATAAATCAAATACTAATAAGTCATCACAACTAGATGGCATGCACCCAAGAGTTCTGAAAGAACTCAAAAGCAAAATTGCAAAAGTATTGGCAATAGTAGGTAATCTATTGTTGTAAACAACTGGGGATAACCAACATAATACGCATCTACAAAAAGCTCCAGAGATTAACCTGGAAACTACAGACCAGTGAATCTCACTTCCATCCCTTGCAAATTGGTAGAATCTATTATAAAGAAGAAAATCAGCTGCACGTGGACATCTGTGACATGGGGAAGAGTCAGCATGGTTTCTCTAAAGGGAAAACTGCCTCACCGATCTGTTGGAATTCTGACTATCATGTAGACCCAGGGATCCAGTTGACAGCATATATTTGGATTTTTGAAAAGCTTTCAAACAGGTCCCTCACCAAAAAGCTTTTAAAAAAATGAGTTAACATGGCATTGGAGGGAAAATTCTTTGCGGACTGAGAGTTGGCTGAAAGATAGGAAGCAAAGGGTAGTGCTAAATGGCTACTATCCAGGATGAAGGGAGGTCAAACGTGGGGTCCTGCAGGATTTGTGTGGTGCCTAATTTTGCTCAACGTTTTTGTCAATGACCTGGAAATAGGGATGCAAAGTGAAAATTCCAAGTTTGTAGATGCAAATTATTCTGGGTAGTCAAATCTGAGGCTGAAGGAGAGGAGCTCCAGAAAGATCTCACAAAGCTAAGTGAGTGGGCAAAACGAGTGGCAGATGAACTTCAATGTCAAGCTATTTCATATGGGGAAAAATAACCTCAGTTATACATACACAATGGTGGGTTCTGAACTAGCTCTGACAACTTAAGAAATGGACTTTGAAGTCATTGTAGATAGCTCTCTAAAAGCATCATTTTAGTGTGCAGCAACAGCCAAAAAAAGCTAATAATATATTGAGTATCACTAAGGGACTTGAAAACAAAATAGAAAATATTATCATGCCACTATACAAATCCCTGGTGTGTGCACATCTTGACTACTGTGTGTAGTTCAGTGATGTCCCTCTAAAGGGATTACTGAATGTACTACTTGCCACTCTTAGGAACAGAATACTGGCCTAGATGCACATGGACGCGGGGGATCCAGTTGGTTTGACCCAGTGTGGCTCTTATGTTTTAACATTCTGGTTTGTTGAATATTTTTATAACCAGTGAATAGAATAATCATACATTTTCATAACTTTACCTTTTGTTCGGCAAGGAATACTCTGTCTAAACCTTATTCAGTTACATAATTCTTGGTTTAACACAGAATTCAAATACAGAAAATTTCAATATTGAAATATAGTATTTGACAAACTTATCTTCCATGTTTAGATGAATGAATTTTGAGGGGAATGAAGAAAAGTTATTCAGAATGAAAATTCTTTTTCCATTATAAGGGTTACATTCATTACACATTTGCAATACTGTCTAAGTAGAATCCATATTCATAATATTTGAGGTTGTCTTTTTTCTAGGAATCCATCACTTTGTAAAAGAAAAGGAATTGTCTTCATGTTTTGTTTTGATATTCTCGTTATAAGATAGATGGCAAAAGTCTTTCAGTTGAGAATAGTCAAAGACCTGATGATTTCATGCTTGAAACCAGTTAGTAAAGTGAATATAGTTTTATAATAAAGAGGTCTGTGTTACTGAGGTAAAGCATTTTTATAGTGGATACATAGATTTAAAATTGTATGTAGGAAAAAATCAGCCATTTAGATGATTAATAATAGCAGTGTAATTTGCAGTTGAAATCTAAGTATATGTTGTCCTATGTCCAGGTACTTGTACGTAAAGCTTGTATCAGAGTATTTATATCTATTCCCCAGGGGAATTATAGAAGTTATATACAGAAAGAGCTATTAGATCACTGAACATATCTGTATAAACATATATTTATTTTTCAGGTTATCTGAAGTATTGTTTATTCAATTGTTTTTATATTTAACCTTAGTTAAAAGGCATATAAATTATTTTGCTGCAGTTTTTAATGATTTATGTAGTAATATAATTATTGCTGAAAATATTTTTTTCTTTGTTTCAGGTGGATGTTTGATGGGAAATATATAAATGATCAGCAGAGTACATTCTCTATGCCTGAGCTTTATATAGTTACTATTTTTTACCATACTTTTTTTTTCATTAGTTAACAATTAGTTGTTCTACTACTAATAGAAAGCCCAAACTAGCATTTGGAACAACAAATACATTTGTAGACAAATATAGGGCTGACTTGGGTGACCTGCTCTGTGTACAGAGGCTGGAGTGATATCACTGTTTAACATAGCTATGTCCTGCTTTCCTGGAATAACAGAATCTTTTTGCACTGATGTTCTTTTAGTTTGAGGCTAAGGAAACATTGAAATAATTTAATTCTAATACAGATCTTCCAGTGCTAGAAATGGTGTGTGTAGATGGTTATATCATATACCCAATCTTCAGTTTGGCTATTTGGGGAAAGATGGGAAGGAGCGTAATGAAAAACATGGAGTGCACTATCTGTTAAGGGAAGGCCCTACAAATCATCCCAGACTCTGCCTCCCTAATTTAAACACCATGGCTATGACAATGTCAGCAGTATTGCATGAAAATACAGGGAGATTAAGAAACAGTGTTACTAACTTTCTACTTTCTTATTTTTTGGATCAGCAGAAACAAAAGAGATAATGCTAAAATTGAAGAATTCAGACGAAATGATTCAACTCCAACAATCCGTGGCAGTTCGAGAGTACAGGCTATACACTCGCACCACTCTTCAGGGGTTTTGGTTAGTATGCTGTTTTTTGATGTTGGTGTCTTCATTCTGGGCAATGCTATGTAATTTTCGCCATAATATTGTGTCAAAATACATATCACTTGAATTAATGGCTTGATTTTGCATAGAGCCATGCAGAGCTGTTCTCTGCATATGCTTTTTAGCAGTTAGCTATGTACCCTCACACTTTGATGCAGAAGAAGAAAAATGCTTTATGTATGTGTTTAGTGTGTTATGTTCTACAATAAATTGGTCAGTTCCTCCTTCACCTCAGAGGAACCAATATACAAAGATATCAGTAACTTGCTAGGCATCCCAGTAGATAAATCTCTACTTTTGGTTAATCTTATCCAGAGTAATTAGTACTTGTCCTTGCTGCTGCAGAAAGAAAAAGATGCTTTCTAGAGGCAAAGTGAGCACTTTTTTATTTCATGCTGCTAAATCAAGCATAACAACCATTTTTGTTGTGGAATGACTTTGCTTCTGGATAATTAGTAACTGGTTTGTTCCTTCATTTTTAAATTTGTGAAATTGAGACTTATCACATGTATGCACACATATACTAACCCTGATATTAAACGTATGCATTTGACTTGACTCCAAGATCTGCATAATAGATGAAACAATGCAAACATGTCATACCTGGAATCGGTAAGATTCTAAAGCTAATGGGATGTATGAACCTGGTGGACAAGGTGTATACATATTGCATACAAAATATCTACATTAAAAGAACATTAAGGTTTCAAATTCATGGACTTGCAAATCAGCAAATGCTATAGTTGTCTGTTCAATCTTAAATTTCCCTCCCTTGTCTTTTTATGATACAGTTTTTAAATGTATGATCATATACTGTTTATTTCCTCAGGACTCCTGCCTCATTGAGCATGGCAAATGCATAGTGTTCCTTGAATACATTGCTATTTTATGTTTCATTTCATGTGCGTTGTTCCATGTGCATTCCTAGTTACTGCAGTGTTGAAACCCTGCTCTGAATATAAAAGTGTTAATTTCCCTCTGCCATTTACTTGGATGCTTATCTGTATTATATGTGTATGGTTCAGAAATGTTCAGGTTACCTTCATAACCCCCCTGTGAAGTCAGGTGTTTATATAACTCCCCCACTACATCTTTGTCCCTATCTCAGTTCCCTCTCCTTCCTTCCCTTTGCTTGCTTGCCTCAGCATATCTGCCAATACAGATTCTACCTGGTCTTCTCACCTCTTTGCTTTATAGTCAGGTATTTTTTTCCTACTCTTCATTGGCCTGCGGACCAGTGGTATCATTGACAACGTAAGAGAAATTCTCTGCTTCCAATTCTGGGACATGATCCCACAAGAGTTTGCGGATGTCAGGAAAACTAATGCTACCTTGATTTCCCCTTTGCACCTTTTTTCAAGATATCAGTCCTGTCTGTGTTAAATAATTTATTTTTCAATATTTTATAAATAATACCAAATGATAGAAAAGAAATCTTACATTTTACTAAGTAGCAGCCAGTAATAGGGGAGAAGGAAAACTGATATGTGTGATCTTGGTCTTCTTAGATTAAAAATCCAGAACTGGGGCTGCTGGATTTCAAAATCCATCTTTGATTTCTTTTGTGGTATTCCAGGGGAAGGAAATGTGATCGACATTATCAGTCATGCAAATAATACCTTGCACTTTATCAGGATGAGTGTACAAATCCCACAGATGCTTACTGTATACTTTCATAAACCAGTGATAAAGCAACTACTGAGTTTATATCTTGCATTTTTTTTAATGCATTGAGTTAAAAAACACATGTTTACCTTGTATTTGATTTTTAGGAACTGCCAGCCCGTGAAACTGTTGAGGATCTCAAAGGTATCTTGAAGACTTTTTACCTTTTTAAACTCTTTTTCTTTAAACATTGCATGTCATTTTTTTAAAATGAAGAGCCTGTACTAGATGCTAACCTGGCCCAGAAAAATGGGTGGCTGCTGCCTCCCTTTTTCCACCTTGTGGATAGTTAGTTGGGTAGTTGTGAACTCTCCAGCTAGATTAGAAAAAATTTACCCTGCCCAGGTAAGGAAAAGTTCTGTTGCATTGGTTTGTTCTCTCTCTCATCTTTTCCTGAGGGAGAGACCTCTGTGTATTAGCATAGTATTTGGGTTTAATAAACAATTTTTGGGAAGCAGAGGGTGATCCATGGGTTTTTATTATATATACATGCTCCCTTTTCTTGATTGTGGGGGGAGGGAGGGGAGGAAGCACACAAAGGGTAGACCTACAATTTATAGGCTCCTGAGACAGAAAAACTTGCAAACCCTTAATGGTCTGACTTGTATGCATATATCTATTCACACGAGTGAAACTATATTTTCAGGTAATTTAAAACCAAAATATTTTTTTCAAGCAATTCCTAAACTAGGAAACACTATCCTTAATTTTTAGCTAGATGCAAAACATTTTGGAAGTTGACAGAGAAACATTGACATCTATAAAAACATTCTAAGATGACTCTTTTCTAAAGTAATTGGCAACAGTAATCTGGTTTTGGGTTATTTTTGGTGCTTCCTTAGTTCTGCAATCTAGGGTTAATGTTTAGATGTATAATGCTTTTTGTTTGTATGGCCTCATTTTACATATGTGGTGTTGTTAGGAGTTATGGTGTTAGAAGATCAAGCTGTTCCACCAGTTACATCTACTTCACCTGATGTCAAAGCAGATACATTACCTGTTTCTACAGCCCTTATGACAAGTTCTACCACCTCAGCGATAGTGACAAAGCCAGTGACTGTGGAGACATTTACTACTAATGGAACAAAAGAAAAAGAAAATAAAGTGCAGCCCTCCGTTCCCCATACATCAGAAGATATTCTTGTGTATACAGATATGGCTAAAAATTTGTCAAATATATCTCTGTCACAATGTGATGGTTTAAGAAATGGCTTTCCTCTGGAGCCATGGGGCAGTGAAAATTCAGTTATTTCAGAGCATTTAAGTAATCCAAAAAATAACAAGAGAGAGAAATTGTCAGATGGGTCATCTTATGAAAGCTTCAGTAACAACTGTCCACAGTGTACTGCAATTGCAGCCAAAGAGACTGATGATCACAGGGAAAATTCTTGTAACCTAGATAACACTAATGAGGATCTTGATTATTCAGATGGTGAAGTTGCTGTTGCTCTTGTTGACAGCTCTCAGCCTGGAGACCAACTTAGTCTACATGAACCCATTAAAATAATAATCACTATGAGTAGTGCTCCAAACACTGCGAATGATTTAGAAGGTTCTGTTCACCTGAAGGTATTAAGCACTGAGAAAACCAGCTCAAACCCAGACTCTAGTGCAGCTACAGAAAATCTGAACAGTCAGCAGAATAACGAACAGCTCAAAATTCCCATTATAACTTTTGAATTTTCTGATGGCAGTAGAGGTAATGTTTATCCAGAAGCCAGTGAGAGTGAAAGAACTTCAGAGCATTTAAAGGTTGATATATCATCCAACCAGTGTTCAGGCTACGAATCTGGTGATCAGGACAATGCTGGAAAGGAACAAAGCAATCCTGCAAATACACCCATAGAAACTAACACTTGCTTAGGTCCAAATCTGGAAGATGTTTCTGAGAATTTGCCAGTCACAGCTCTTAATTCTAAAGAAGATCAACTAAACCTTGATCCAGTATCTCGTAAAACTCCCCATGAAAAGAGACATGTTCGTGTGCTGAGTGTAGACAGTGGGACAGACATTCTTTTAAGTAAGAATTCTACAGAAATCGTTAGTGATAAAGAGAAGGCTTTACCAACCTCTAAATCTGACCTAGAAGCCAAAGAAGGACAGACACCTAACGAATCCAACTTCCTGGAATTTGTCTCTTTACTGGAATCCATTAATACCTCAAAGATGAAGGCATCCAATCAATCCAGTGTCAAAACAGAGACTATGAAGGATAATGGATCTGTTGGAGGTATGATGCATGATTTAAAGTTACTATTTTCTAACAAACTGCCAGATTATTTTGATTATCATAAATCCAGAGCTTGTTGGGGAGACCCTTAATCTATAAAACAAGGACCGTACCTTTTTTTGTTCTATTATGGGCTTTCTGTATTGAAGGTTACAGCATACCTGCCTGATACTAAGAGACCTGTGCTTTACTGGAAACCAAAGCACAATCTCATCCAGCATTCATCTGAGGTTGTATAAATACTAGGCCTATGTGAAGCAGCTTTGGATTCGGATTTGCCTGATTTGGGGAACAGTGATTTGATTCGGTGATTCAAATCACTGTCCCAAATCTGATTCAGAGATTTGGCTGCCACCGAATCTCCAAATCAAACAGGCCCCATCCCCCACCCGTTCTCCCAGACTCATCAATGGCTGCCCTGCCCAGTCCCAGCATCCTGGCACTTTTTTTTAAGCCCCACACTCACCGGCTCCTGCCAGGCTGAGAGGCAATCCCCGCTGCCCCATGCTGTGTGGGGGGGCTCTGCCACAAGCCCCCAGAAGCCTCAACAGCTGCTGCAGCAGCCAGTGAGTGTGGGGCTTTTTTTAAAGCATCGGATTGCTGGGGCTGGGCAGGGCAGCCACTGAGGGGCTGAGAGAGTGGGCAGGGGTTGGAGGCACTCAGGGGGGCTGGGGGAGCAGGCAGGAGATGGGACCTGGAGAGGGTCCCCCCATGGTCCCCTCCCTGCTCCTCCAGCTGCCGCCCCTCCACCCCCTACTTACTGGCACGGAGCCCAGGTTCAACTCCCTACGGCAGTGAGCAGGGACCGCTTGAATCTCTAAGTCTCCTCCAGATCTTTTTCCGAATTGATTCAGAGGCTTCAGATCCATTCGTACCTTTTTACTGGTCTCCCAATTTGATTTGAATTTGGAGATTCAGCTGCCAAATCGGGCCAAACCTCTTCCAAATCGAATCAGCAGCTGAAGCTTCACACAGCCCTAATAAATAGAAAGACATACCAAAAATAAGTATGAAGACATACTTACCTATCCTTCCAGGAATTGTATAGGTAACCTCTGAATCACAGTGGTGGGCTTCTTCCAACTATCCAGGGTAGCAATTAATTTTTTATAACACAACGTTTCTTACTAATTTTACATTTGTGCAGTGACTGGCTAATGTTGTTTCTAAGGGGCTTTTTTCCTTATAAAGACGTTTTTGCTAATAGAAAGTCCAGGGTTCACAAAGAGTGCTGTCTTTATCTTTTTAAAATGTGTGGCTTGGTAGTGTAATGTCTTGTGTCCCACTCAAACCAGACAAACCACAAGCCTTCTTGCAAAAGTAACAGTCCTGGTAGTTAGTATTATTACCAATAACTTTCAGAATTTTGTGGTTTAACTGACCTAGTGACTCTTGCAATAAAGCTCCTATATTATAGTTCTAACAGGTAGGAAAAAACTTATACAATAGCTCTTAGCAAATGAGGAGAGATTTTCATTTACACATTAGCTTTACCTTACATACGTGAATATGGCTTCCCAGTGACCTTCTATTTGCTCCCATTTTTGTCAGCACTCTATCCCAATGCCTTCCACTCCAGTTCATAGGGCTATTGTTTGTAAGTGTTGTAGCATCTAAGTTTCTTCAAAACAATAGCTAAATTGAGACATCTGTGGTTAGATGACTAAAACTGAGGAAGCACTACATATGAGGAATAAAATTAAAAAAACACTTCGCTGGTTCTAGCTAAAAAAAAAAAAGTTTTGAAATGACAAAAATAAAACCAATTTATAAACGGTTTTCAGATGGAGAAACACTGGTGGAGTGGTGAATGTTAAAGCATGATGTATTGGCTTCTCAATAGCAGTGTTAAACTTAAGTAAAGGAAGTAACCACTGACCAGAATGGTTCAGGATGTCCACAGATGCCATGACAAAACTGAGGGGATATTATTAGTTCATATAGGCAACTGGTAGTCTCCCATTTGGACAAACTTAAGTTGTCTTTCATGTACAGCCATGACTGTCCATACATGTGAGAATGCTGTCCCTTTTTTAAATCACTCCTATACTTTTATTGGCCAGTACTGCTGAGCATATAGGAGCTTTCCCTGGGCTGCTGCGTTAGGTGAGGAGACAATTACTGTGCGCCCAAAGGCAGTCATTTTGGCCATGAATACCACAACCCCCCCCCTCTACCTAGTACATATTTAGCTCTTTTTACCTACATCCCTGAGGAGGAAGGATACATTATCACTACTTTACATTTTGAACTTAGTGCCATAGATTTCTAAAAACACTTTAGAAGAGAAGTGTTTTTAGAAGATAGGAAAGAATCAGTTCTTTACAATGGCAAATTCAGTCCTGAAGTCTTGAAATAATTAGGCAGATTTGTTACTTACTTTCCCACTGTTGGGGAAATTCTCTGTTGGAGTGGTTTATGCCAGAAATATGATTACTAAGTGAGAGCTCAAATACTTTTTCAGTATTGGGTTAAGGCATAGAGTTCAGGCTAAGAAAATATTTTTCTCTTTCTTTCCCCCTGCTCCCCAGGACAGGTAGAAGTTTTGGGTTTAGTTCTGTTTGTAAAGTGTCTAGTGCAGGGTAGTTCTTGTCCATAGGGCTCTAGGGCATTCTGTTCAGAGAAATATGTAATAGGGAGTTTCACACTTGCCAAGAAAGGATAGCAGAGAAGCATGGGCAAGGGTTTGGTGACATCCAGTACAGCTGAATCAAGCTGTCTGTCAGACAGTAGTGGAATAGTTGGCCTGGTAGAAGTAAAGAGAGTACCACTGACTTACAAGTTAGCAAAGAGCTAAGGAGAGCAAGAGAACTGAGTAACAAATCAGCTACAATGGGAAGAGACTGGATTTTAGCACTGCTTCTCTTTCCTCAGATTCAGTTGATTCCAGCTCAGCATGTAACATCTTAGAAGAAGCTGGAAAGGGATCAGGAAGAATTTCTAATGTAAGCTAATGCATCTTGCAAGCAGCAGTTTGAAAGTATTCTCTGCTAGTGTTCTGAATAAACTTATGGGGTTGTTGAAGGACACAATAAATGTGAACTTTTCAATTACAGCCAATATAACAAGTTGCAGGGAATCAGGGCTGCCAGGATTAGTGTTAGTTTCAGTACCAACTGTTGGATGCCCACAAGCATTATAACAAAATTTGTTGAGCGCTAAATGGAATTGGGTATCAATGTAAAATGAGCGCTGTAGTGAAATAGCACTGAGTGAAACAGCCTTAAGTGCGGGGTGGCCTGTATAGTGGCTGCAAGCAACAGCATTATGTACAATGCACTTAATAAAGATCCAGTTACTACTGTTTAGATGGAGTCCATTTATTGTTGCACAGTGCTCTATGTGTGAAAGAGTCAGATAGTTAAAAAACAATTATTTTTAAAGGCAAGCAAGTTTAATCTGGTTTGCGGAGACTAATCCAAAATAAACACAATTTGATTATTGACTGTTGCTGCAAAATACTGCTTGATTTTTTTTGACACAGACCTTTTCTTATTTTTTTTTATGGCATTGTAATTACAAGCTTGAAGTTCCTGGCTCTGCAGCAGCAGTTAATTACAGTTTGTACAATAATTAAAAAAACCCCATATTTGTATTAAAATTATATGCATGTGTGGAAGGGTTGATTTTACAAAAAATGAAAAGTGTCTGGAAAAGTCAAATAACCTCAATGGAATTACTTAGGCTAATTGCACCTTAACCAGCTTAATTGACAGAGGGTAAATCCTCCTTCAAATGGGTATAAATATATGGCATAGAAGAGCACATTAAGGAATATGAGAAACCTGGACCTCCAGATGCATTCTTATTTCTAGAAAGCTTAGCATTCAGAAATTTAATGTAGGAATGACTAAACATTTTGTGTAATTTGCAGAGAGCAAGTGATCAGGATAATTTTCTTGTAGTGATTGGAAGAGGTTTGGAACTGATTGGTCACATATAAATGAAGAATCTTGTGCTCACATGAAATGCAGGAAACTCAATATATATCACTTTGTCTACAAGAAGACCTTACTACTTATATTATTCATTAAACTGTGACACAAAGAGATTCAGAACTTATTTATTGTCTCTTACACCATTGTTAAAATAGATTTTGATTTTTAGAGATTTTGAAATACTCTGACTTTCAGGCCAATAATGGTTTTAACCTTGGTTAAACTCTTACCACCCACACAGAAGGGCGTTTCAGTCAGTGCCTTGTCACAGGACTCTAGGTATGTGTTAAACTTTGTGGACCATTATGCAGTGTTAAAGTTAGAACATGTTCTGAGCAGTTGCACAGCCATATTTACTATGAATCTTACATGCACCGCTCATGCTCTGCTTCTAGAGGGCCAGCAAGCAGGCTGCCTAACATGTTGTGCTGGCATTCCCATATTTCTGATACCAGCTGAAAACAGCCAAACATAGATGAAGGTGCCTGTTAAGTGAGGTGAAGTGATGATGTGATGTGACTACTGGTGAGCCCTCTTTGACTTACTGTTCCAGATGGCACCAGATTTCCAGGGGCATTCTGGAGATGAGTAGTAGGGCTGTGTAAAGCTTTAATCGCTGATTTGATTCAGCCTGATTCGGTGGCCAAATCTGAATTGAATCAGGAGACCCACTAATCTCTCTGAATTGATTTGGAAGCCTCTGATTTGATTCAGAGAGATTTCCTGATTTGGCCATAGATACAGCTTTATATATTTTTTTTCCTATGTACCTCGAGGTACTAGGTGTGGCTCATGAACACTGAGATAGTGGGGTGGATGGAGTGTCCCATGGGAGTGAAGGGGAGTCCTCCATGTGCTCAGCAGCAAACCACATGCTTCTGGGTCCGCCGTGGAGTGTGTGGGGGACCACCTCACCCCCCGGCTCAGTGACTGCTGTCTCCTGGGTCTGGTGGGGCACCCAAGGTTCCCCCACGGCCGATTAGTGAGTTGGGGGCAATGGGAGGGCCCCCACGTGCTTTGCAGTGGACCTGGAAGTGGGCTGGATTCTGGTCCACTTCCAGG